TTCCTCTCTAATTTTCTTTGTAATTCTCTCTGTTTTTTATTTGATTTACGTAACTAAAACTCAAGTTGATTCTTATAAATTGGTTTTGATTCTTGCATTTCTTATTTTTACATTGATTACATATAACAAATCCTTTGAATCATCATTGAATCATCATAAAAACTTGTTAATTCATCATCTCGTTCTTGATTGTGAATTTGGAACACATCACATTCCTATAACGCGTCACATTCCTATAACACAATTCACTAACTTTAACATTGATTGTATGCAACTCATCATGACACTCACCATTTTTTCTTTTTCTCTTTTGTTATTGCTACTAAAAATCCAAACCAAATGGACTGATTTCACCATTTAGAAAAGAAATTTAGAAACCCCAAGATTTTAAGAATGTTGGGGCTTAATTACTCGAGGAATCGGATGATTTTTGTATGTTTTTTTCTTTAAGTTTTTAGCTTTGATCCATGTTGTGAAGGTAGAACTTTTCGTTTTTTAAGGGAATGATTAGCTAAAAATATCACTTTTGTTATGAATTATATATAATTATTTGACTTTTTTCGACATGAAGTTTTTATGGTGTAGAGGATATCGCATTAATTTTACACAATAAAGGTGACCGGTTTGATCTTGCATAATTGTTTTTTACATGAATTTGTAGTAGGATGATCAAACTTTTTTGGATGTTTTTTTACTTGATTTTGTAGTTGGGTAATCATTTCCAAAATTGGTTTTGACATATCAATCTTGATACTTGAAAGTGGGTATGCTTCTCATCTAGTTAGCTACAATTTAATTTTAAAACTAACACATGAGAAAATATTCAAAGTGTAATTAAGAAAATATAAAATTTAGAAAGACAAGATATGATATTAAATAGAATTTAAAATATTAGGACTCGAACTAATATGATACCATCATATTTACAACAACTCTATATTTCTTGGACAAATTGTCCACGAAATTATAGCTTGCATGCAAGTCGTAACCGATGCATGCGCCGCCTCAAATGAGGAGGTACATGCAAGGGAGGGGGCCTATACACCTTAGTTCAAAACCATCCCCAAAAGTGAGAGAGAGAAAAAATATATAGAGAGAGGTTAGTTCCTAGAAAAATATAGAGTGTTTTTCCTATTTCAAGAGAGAAATTTATTATTTTCTCCTTATAGTATAGAGAGAGATTGTAACTCCTATTATTTCTCATAGTGAAGTTCTTCTATCTTGTCCGTGGTTTGTCCCCTTAATTTGTTTAAGGGGTTTTTTCACGTAAAATCCGTGTGTTCATTATCGTTGGTTTTTTGTCAAATTCATTAGTCGTGAATCCTGCTTTATTCGAGTGAATAACACAACAAATGATATTAGAGCATGATTGTAGATTTTGTAGACATGTTATTGTAGCGAGAAAGAGTCCGTAATAGAAGCAATGACGGTAAAGTTTGTAATTGAAAAATTCAACGGGAGCAATTTCTCATTGTGGAAGTTAAAGATAAAGGCTATCTTGAGAAAAGATAATTGCCTAGGGACCATCAGCGAAAAGCCAAAAGAATACATAGATGACAATAAGTGAAATGAGATTGATGGAAATGTTATTGTAAATCTTCATCTAGCGTTAGCGAGATGGAGTGTTGTCAAGCACCGACGAGAAAAAAACAACAAAGGAGATCCGGGATCATCTCACTAAGCTCGTACGAGGCCAAATCACTTCATAACAAAATTTTTCTTAAGAGGAAACTCTATACTCTTCGTATGTCGAATCTACTTCGATGACGAAGCATGTCAATACTTTAAATACTATATTTTCTCAACTCACATCGTTAGGTTATAAAATAGATGAAAGTGAATGTGCTTGAACTTCTACTTCAAAGTCTACTAGATTTATATGATAAACTCATCATCAACTTAATAAATAATATCCTTACAAATTATTTAGTCTTCGATGATGTCGCAATTGCTTGTTTTGGAAGAAGAAAATCGACGTAAGAACAAGAAAGACGAGCATGCAAATTCACAACAGGTGGAGGCCTTATTGGTGATGAGAGGAAGATCGGTGCAATGTGGCTCGAGTGGGAGCCATAATCATGGTAGGTCAAAATCAAAAGGTAAGAAGAAGAATCTTAAATACTATAACTATGGCAAGAAAGGTCACTTGAAGAAGGATTGTTGGAGTTTAACAAATTCCAATCCTCAAGGAAACATGACGAGCAGTTAGGATGATAAGAATGCTTTGTATTGTGAAGCAACAATAACACATGAAGACAAAAAAAGATTTGCTGATGTGTGGTCGTTCGACTCGGGAGCTACGTTTCACATGACCTTTAGAAAAGAATGGTTCCATCGTTATGAACTCGTCTCGAGAGGAACTGTGTATAATCGTAATGATTGTGCTATAATGGTCATTGGAGTTGGAACCATTAAGCTGAAGATGTATGATGGTATGATATGTACTATTCAACAAGTACGGCACGTAGAAGGCTCGAAGAAGAACCCATTGTCTTTAGGACAACTGGATGATCTTGAGTGCAAGATCGAGATAAAGAACAATGTCATGAAGATTGTTCGAGGTGTGCTTGTACTTGTGAAGGGAGAAAAGATAGGTGCAAACTTGTATATGTTACGGGGAAAGACTTTACTAGAAGTAGAAGCATCGATCGCTTCAAGTAGTTCAAGTGAAAGATCTACAATGATGTGGCATCAAAAACTTAGAAATATGTCCGAACAAGGAATGAAAATCCTTACCGAGCGAAAGCTACTTCCAAGCCTCACAAAGGTATTATTACCTCTTTGTGAGCATTGTATTACAAGTAAGCGACATTGTTTAAAGTTTTCCACATCAAATTTTAAAAGCAAAGCTATTCTAGAATTGGTTCACTCGATGTATGGCAAGCTCCAGTTCCATCCACAGGAGGAGCAAAGTACTTTATTTCCTTCATTGATGATTATTATAGGAGATGTTGGGTTTATAAAATCAAGAGGAAGTCGGATGTGTTTTCGAGTCTTTAAAATTTACAAAAGGCAATTTAAACTTGATTATGGTAAGAAGATCAAGTGTCCGAGGATGGATAATGGACGAGAATACACTGGTGATGAATTTGATACATTCGCAAACAAGAAGGTATCAAAAGATAATTCACGATTGTATACACTCCTCAATAAAATGGAGTGGCAGAGTGGATGAACAAAACCTTATTAGAAAGAACAAGAGCAATGCTAAGGACTCGCATGCTTAGGAAAGGCATTCAGGTAGAAGCGATCAATACCGCATGTTATATTATGAATCGGGCCCTATCAACTTCAATTGAGTTGAAGACACTAATGGAGATATGGACTAATAAACTAGTTGATTATTTAAATTTTCATATATTTGGAAGTCCCGTGTACGTGATGTACAATGCCTAAGAAATCATAAAGCTAGATTCGAAATCTAGGAAATGCTTATTCTTGGGGTATGCTTGACAAAGTGAAGGGGTATCACTTGTGGGATCTCACTGCCCACAAGGTTATTTTCAGCAGGGAAGTCATCTTTGTAGAAAAGGATCTACAAAGAAAAGAATGAGGTGATAACACTTTAGAGACTACAATAGTACGGGTAGAAAAGGAAGTCGAACAAAACAATTCTTTTGAAGCGACACCGAACACGAGGTACAAGAACCAATTGAGTCTCAAGTTTCGGAATCTCATCGATCAAATCGCATAAAAAGGTGACTAGATTGGCATTCTAACTACGTTATGGAGAGCAATGTTGCATACCGCCTTCTAACCGAGGAAGGGGAGCCATCAACACTCCAAGAGGCGCCGAGTTACTCGGATGCAAATTAGTGGATTGCGGCAATCTAGGAAGAAATGAAAGCTCTTCATAAGAATAAGACATGGAAACTTGTGCCGCTACCACAAGGAAGAAAGACCATTAGCAACAAATGGGTCTATAAGATCAAGTGGAATAGCGATGATCAAGTGGAGCGGTATCGTGAAAGATTGGTGGTGAAAGGATATGCTCGGAAAGAAGGAATTGACTTTAATGAAATATTTTCACTTGTGATTAGACTTACAACAATCCGAGTAGTCCTAACAACTTATGCTATGTTTGAATTACATCTAGAGTAGCTAGGTGTGAAAACAACTTTTCTTCACGAAGATCTTGAATAGGAGATTTATATGCTCTAATTAGAAGGTTTTGAAGAAAAAGGAAAAGAGAACTTGGTTTGTAGGTTGACCAAATTTACGTACGAGTCTAAAATAGGCGCCGAGGTGTTAGTACAAGAGATTTGATTCATTCATTATGAGCTTTGGATACAACGGACTTAATGCGGACCCTTTTGCATATTTCAAGAGGTTTGGTGAAAATGATCCACGAACTTACACCTTGCATGCAAGTCGTAACCGAGTGCATGTGCCACCTTAAATGAGGAGGTACATGCAAGGGAGGGAGCCCTATCCACCTTAGTTCAAACCATCCTTAAAAGTGAGAGAGAAAAAAAATAGAGAGAGAGGTTAGTTCCTAGAAAAATATAGAGTGTTTTTCCTATTTCAAGAGAGAAATTTATTGTTTTCTCCTTGTAGTATAGAGAGAGGTTGTAACTCTTATTATTTCTCATAATGAAGTTCTTCTATCTTGTCCGTGGTTTTTTCCCTTAATTTGTTTAAGGGTTTTCCATATAAAATTTGTATGTTCATTATCGTTGGTTATTTGTCAAATTCATTAGCTGAGAATCCTGTTTTATTCGATCAATAACACAACGAACTCAACAAAAGCTCAATCCGCAAATAAAAAAGTACAGATTATTATTAGATGCAATGATAAAAACTCGAAGTCATTAATTACCATAACTGAACACAAACATATGGTCTAGGTTACACCTTGAGAGGAAAACAACTTAACCACTTGTTAATAATTTATTCTTACAATAATTGAAAAGACAGTACATATAATACTATTCCAGTCCATTTTAGAGGAGAGGAAGATATCCAGGCATGCATCTTTTGAACTTCGAAGAGATAGCTAGCTAGCTTGCTAGTCTTCCTGCGCACTGCTGCATCTTCTTCTTCTTCTTCTTAATACATGTATCTTGCACCAGAAGAATCCAATTTGACCATATAAAGTAAATGAAATACATTAAATAATGTACATCAAAGGGTTCTGTAGTTTTCTTGGTAAAAAATGGTGGAAGATTAAGCCCTCTGAGGTAAACCAGACCCTGAATTGCGATAAAGACAGCGCCCGTCACAGTAGTGAGAACAGCTAGCCATTTATATTCAAGATTATTTAGTGCTATCGACACAGCGATGAAGAAAGCAACGCACATAAAGTAAAGGGACACAGCAACCAATGTTGATGAAATCCAAGCAAGTAAGGGTGAAATTTGGAAATATTGCAATTGTGTAGAGCTGATGAGTATAGCTGCCACCAAGGAGGTATTCAGAGCCCACACATCAAAATAAAGGTAAAGGCCCAATAGAAGAGAGCTAGAACTGCATTTGCTATGACGATGACCACCAGCACTACCACATATTTGTGGCAATTGGACAGCACCAGCAAAGGCTACCCCAGCAACGAGTACTGCTATCACAAGAAGATTCTCCATTCTGCTCTTCGTTTCCTCTTGGCTTTGACGACGTTTGGGTCGGATGCTAGTTGAATATTTTTCAAGGTTTTTCTTAGGGGGGCGAACATGTATAGGATCGATAATGCTAACATCTGCATTACAAAAGGATAAATTAATCATTCCTTATTAATGAGGCCTCAAAAATATGAATGCAACTTTAGTTGTTTCTTTTTTCTCCCCGCAACGAAACTAAATTATAAATGATATGAAAGTTTATTTATTATAATTATAACTTAGTGTCAATAGTTTAATGAAATTAATAAATGAGTCCTTGTGGTTTCAAATACTAATTTTTAATTCCCTTACTTTTTTTTTTAATCATAACTTAGTCCTTTTTGTCAATTCGATTTGGTTTTTATTTTGAAAAATAGAAAAAGAAAAGAGAAGCGTTGGAAATTTTGATTAGGAAAGAAGGCTACATAGATAAATATAAACCAACTGAACTGTGGATGATTAACCTCTTAGTAAAGCAACAGCTATATTTAATTTTTTTTCATAATATAAATTAATTAGTTTCCATAAATTATAAAGACTAAATTATACTAAATTATAATTAATTAACTCCAAATACAAAAATATATCACACATACCAAGTCATTATATTGAGGCACTTGGGTTCTCCTTGGATATGCCTTTTCATGTTGCTTTCCAAGATCATTCTGCATTAGATAATTACATATGTTGTAAAGTGAGGCCAAGAGACTTTTTTTTTTTTTCAGAGAAAAGTCAAATTATTGATTTATATTAATCCTGTATATTCTTATACTAGTTTATGTGCCGATGCAGTTTTCAAGAGGATCATGAATTTAATTCAGTCATATCAACTCTTCTATATAATTTTGGTTCCTATCAATCTTTCTATTTTATTTTAACTTTTAAGATGAAAATCTTTTGATTTGACCTCATCTGTTAGTTAATTTATCGTTAACTAATATAATTGTGACATGTGGCATGTAATTTTTTATCTATAAAAAATAGAAAAACAATCAATTAGGAACATTTTTACTTTTTGGGTTTTTTTTTTTAAAAAAAAATCAATCTGGATTATTTGTAATAAAACCGAAAAATTAAAAAATAAACCAATCCCTCTATATATAACCAATTATTCGTAACAAAAGGAAAATAATAATAATGATGATTTTCAAAATTAAAAAATAGAAAAAAATCAATTTGGATTATTTATAATAAAAGGAAAAAAAGGGAACCAAGACTGCTATAAATGTAATAAAAGGAAAAAAATAAATTTTAAAATAAAAAATAGAAAAAAATCAATTTTAGGCCTCATGACACTTTATTGCTCAACATTTAGTCAGCTAACGGTACGTCGTCAAACTCCCGAAATTCCATCATGAAAATAGAAGAAAACGTTTATTTATTGATGGAAAGTGAAAGTTGTTTTATGAGAAAAAAACATTTTCTATTTATCCAACTTTCTAGAAAACGAAACAAGGCTAAAAAATTGTTTTTAAGTTATCCAAGATATACATATAACATGGACCTTGTTTGGTTCCTTTAATACTTTGTACATTTCTTTTACAATTTTAAATGTAAACTAAACAAAGCTCTTGCTTTTGTTTTCGACAATTTATATTAAACGAACATGTTTCTTTAATTTTTCATTAAAAAAAAAACCTTTTTAGGATAAATAAGGAAATTTTCTATTTATGTTTTGAACAACAAATCATTGGCAACAGTGGCTGGGATTGGTTGGTGATGATTCAGATTCTCTGGTCTTCTCTGTTTATATTTTTCTGAATAAGTTAAACACAAGAATTTATAAATCCAAAACATTACTATGCATGATTTCTAGAGAATAAAAAAAAAACTTTCGAAATGATAAATATTACAGGATTCATACCTTGGTTGAGTTCATCGCGTTTTCAATGTCCTTGCCATCCTGAACAGCAAGCTAGCAGTACAGAGGAATCACACAGAAACCAAAGAAAGACTAGATAATCTTACAAGAAATCTTGATATAAAATTTTTACATGGTGGTTAATATATGATCATACCTTTTCGACGTCTGTTTTTTGAGTATTTTCCTCAACCAATGATTTTAGTTGGTTATCTGCAATATCATAAAACGTAAAGTTTTCATTGTTAACAATATTTTTATCAAGAAGCTTGTTGCGAACTAGAACAAACACAATCCAAGGTTGGCCATGCTTCGCTGCCAAATGCAAGGGTGTGTTTCCTTCCTCATCCATCCCATTAAGAAGGCGTTTTTGACAGATATCTAGACGGGGATTTTGGAGTATATACTGCACCAATTTTCTTTTTCCGTTTTCCACAGCGACATGAAGGATGTTCTGCCTTTTTTGATTGAGAAATTCCATTGGATCACGCCATTGCTTAAGCAATTCTTCTACTACTTCAACATGGCCGCTTTTGCATGCAACATGGATAGGTAAGTCGCCTTCTTGATTGCTTTCAACAGCACTAAGTTCCTTTAACAGGAACCGAACTTCTTCGAGATAACCTAGGGATGATGCAAAATGAAGTGGGTTTCCCAACTCCCTGTCACTATGAAAATGGAGCAGCTCTGGCTTCTTTTTTGCAATTCTTGTCAGTAAATCTGAAATTCAGATAGAAAAAAAAAAGTTGAAACAAATATGTCGTGTTAGCTCTTAGCTTCAATGTCATTTAATTTGACTGTGAATATTGCTATCACCTATGTTTTTTAGCTGGATAGCAGCGTGTGCCGGCGACGTCTTTCCATCTAGCTTCCTGAGTGAATCAGTATCTTCGGCTATGGAGTCCAAGAGAAGGTCAAGTATGATATACTTATCTTGGTTATTCTCGACTTCTGGATCCGAGGGTGACTTATCTGCCTTCTTGTAGCCAATATTTTCCACTGCCAGGTACAAGGGAGACTTACCTGCCTTATTCTTGAAATAGGCCACTTCATGATCTGCAGAAACAAGGGATTTGGCCACTGCATAGTGACTCTCAATCACTGCATCATGCAAAGGAGTGTTTCCTTCTCTATTCTTCATCCTCAGCAAGCCAGAATCAATGCGGATGAGAGTTTCCGTGGCGGTCAACTTTCCAGCTCTCGCAGCAAGGTGAAGCGGCGTATCGTTGATGGAGTTCTGCTTCGTGATTAGGGCAGGAAACTCTCTAGCCAGGTATTCTGAAACATTTTTGCTTCCATAACTGGCCGCCACATGAAGTATTGAATTCCCCGAAGGAGTCACTTGATCGGAAATAGCTGGTGATGGTGGTAATTGAAGGAAGGTATTCACTTCATCACTCATTGCAGCTTCAAATAATTCATATTTCATCTGCATACGGTGATCACCACCTATATTTATTGCTAAGTGATCCATAGATAGCCCAAAATCAAGCTATCAGAAGCATAAATGTTGTCTTCTTTTATAGACCAGCCTGCAGCAGATACCTTGACACTTCTTCACCCTACTTGTTTATTACTTATTGATTCAAGGAAAGAGAGAGTGGTGAGGAACCAAAAAAAAAAAAAAAATTGAAGATTACCTTGACCATGGCTAAAGCAGCTGTTACCTCATGGTACATGGTAAAGAAAAAGAAAAGAATAGTCCCCAAACTCAGAAAAGCATAGATTCTGATTCGAAACTTGAATATATAATTCATGTAGACACAGTGCAGCTACGTGGAAGATTCTGATAAAAGGAACGTTATATATGTATATATGACACAATGTGGCCTTGATTGTTGACTTTGATCAAAATCATAACTTTGCATTAAGCTCGCCAAACTCATAATTAAATCAGACTGTTTGTTGATACTCAGGCTTGCTTTTTAGTTAATCCAAGGTCTAGAAAGTTTAAGCAACATCTTATTTTATTTTATCATTAATGAGTTGATTTTCTTTGATATGCATTTGACGACAAGCTTTGCCATGGATGAACCTCAAGTGAATAAAGAAACTAAAGGCAAGAGAAAACTCCTAGATTGGAAATCAAAATAAATTGGAAAAAAACAAAAATGATTAAGTTATAAGAAAATTTGAAATTATATGGATTGAATAATTAATTTTTAAAGCAAGGAATATTAATTAATTCGTTTCTCAAAACTATAGGGACTAGTTTATACCTACTTTTAATCATAAAAATAAACTACCATTATGATTGCTAAGAAAATATTTTTATTCGAGTTTAAACATAATTATAGTCTTTTTATTTTTAAATCTATTCTTAACTTAATCAGTTTGTTTTTTCAGTTTTTTAAATTTTATTTTAAAAATAGAAAAACAAATGTAAAAATATGGAAGGATTGATGAGAAAATAAGATATATATATTTTTTTAAACAAAGTAATATTAAATTAACAATGATCAACACTAGTCAAAAGACAGGTTTATAGTAAAAAATTGCTCATGTTCTATTGCAATTTGACAAGTTTAGGTCTTTATTATCAATTTATATAAATTGAACTAAAAAATATTGGTTTTTGGATAAATTTTATTCAAATCATTTAATTGTAATAGTCAACCTAGTTGGCTATTAATTTTTTTTTTTTTGCTATTATTTTTTTAAAAAAATGTTAAAAATGCTTTTCCTCTATTTTTCAAGAAAGATTTTTTTTTCTATCCATTTATCCGTAAATAAATAAAAATTTACTAAACTCTTTTTTGGTTCTCCCTGAAAAAGAGCTTTCACTTTTTGAACATATATTTAAAAGACTAAAAATAAAATAAAATTAAATTAAAAAAGTTTTAAAAAATAATTTTCTGACTCTAACAATTTTAAATGCTTTTTATATGTTTGAATCAATTGTGAGAAAAAAACATTATAACACATGAGAAGATAAAAAATATTAAATAAATGCAGTTATATTTAAAATTATCACAAGAATAAATTTATTGACATGGCATAAGAAAATTTTCAGTTAAAATTAATTATTTGATAATTTCAATTAATCAATTCAATCAAAAGATATTTGTATTTTATTAATTATAGAAGTTGATTGTTTAATAGATAATGATACTACATAAAAGTTATTTTTTAAAATTGAAAAACAAATTATGTACAAATAACAATTTTATTGACGAAGAAAAATCAAAGAGATAAATATATGAAAATTTTAAATAGAAAGAATCTCTCTTGAAAATTAAGGAAAAATATTTTTAATATTTTTTTAAAATTAATAGAAAAAAATAATAGATAAAAGCGAATCAACCTGGATTGATCGTTACAATTAACGAATTTGGATAAGATTTAACCAAAAACCAATATTTTGATATTCAAATTATGTAAATTGATAATAAATATTTAAAATTATCAAATTGTAATAGAATGTGGGTAATTTTGCCATTAAATCATCACAAGACTAATTAATTAGTTTTTAAAACAAGATGGATTATTTAATTAATTTATTTATTTTTAACAAAAATAGATGGATTAATTTATAATTACTCAACAAATGAGTTGAACTCTCTCTCTCATACTCTCATTTATTAAATTTGTAAATGTATTCTGAAAGTTATATCTAATTCCAAAGAGATCCTATTCTCTCGTAGTAATCAAATTGTTCTCTTATGGTTTATTACATATAAATACAAAAAAAGAAATTAAAATTGTTCTGAAGATAATTTAGTTTAAAAAGTAGTGGAATTAGTCTCGATTGATGCAAAACTAATATGAGAATACTCTACTATTTTTAAATATATATATATAAAAAAAGAAAAAATTAAATAATGCCCCATCTTTTTGCATAAAAAGCATGTTATTCTTGTGTCAAAGAACTTGTGAACTACAAGGTTGAACACAATGATTAATTATATATTATTACTCTTTCTGCTTCTGCTTCTTCTTACCACTAACTTTGAGCACACAAACGTTCCTACCAAGTAGTAAGGCAAAAGCCAAAAGGATGTAAAATCATTGAGTTAATGCTTTGTATTGTTTAATTAATATATTGGCACTCCAAAGTGTAAAAGAAGCAGTGATTATATATATATATATATAAAGTTCAAAGAGTTACCTAAATGAGACTGCTTCTGTCGTTGTCGCCAATAAGGTAGCATAGAAAGCATATGATGAAGTAAGAAGAACAAGGCAAAGCCTAACAGAATAAATGGATGTTTTATGAGTAGATGGATTAATATTTGATATAAAGATTAAATGTTTAGAAACCATTTCATTAGTTATTTAACCCTTCCAATCAAATAGATCGTCTAATTTTTTTATTTATCTGTTTTAAAATATTTATCTATTTAAAACTTTTAATATATATATATATATATATATAAGATAATGATATATATAACAATTAATAATATTTTTGATATGTATGAAAAGTTTTTTTTAAAAAAAAATCTCTTTGAGACCAAGACAGTAGTGTATTTTTTTTTAATTTACCTTAATTTACAAAATGGTCGCTAATTTTGTAATTTACAAAATAGTCCTCCTATGAAAAGAGGAGAAAAAGAGGAACGAAGACTCTGTTTTGCTGCTGCAAAGCGACATCACTTTGTCAAAAATTTTGAGTTATTTTTTTGAGTTTACCTTTTAAATATTTATAATACTTAACATTGTGTCAAGTTATGTAAGTTCAATATTTATATATATTAATATTCATTTGTACATTGTCTATCAACTATTAGTTAATTGTTATATTACAATTATATATATAAAAAAATTATTAAAGGAATTCATGAAACCACAAAAACCCAATATAATTTTTTTTTTTCCTCACCGTAAACCTGATAAATATGAGTTGGGGATAAAGGAGGTATAACCGGTTATGTTATCATCTCTAAGAAATTTTAAGGTCCTTAGATAAATGAGTAGTGAAGACGAATTTTCTTTGGACCAACAGAATATGGTTGGCTGCTATAATAAATCATGACGGCGTGATTAGTTTGGCCCATTGTGTAAAAAATTCTATCTTCCTCCAAGAGGTGACAATCTCCACCTTTCTTTCTTAATGACACTCCTCCCCTAATTTTTACACTAGTCTACTTATTACTTCTTAATTTTCCTCTTTTTTTTTTTTTTATGATCAATAATCTTTTACCAAACATATCCCAAGAGAAATCACAAAATTGATGCGTAGTGTGGAAGGTTAAACATTTGAATTCCAATGCCAACTTACATTGGAAAAAAAGTATGAACTTTTGAACACAACTTATAATCTAACTTTTTGCATGATTATAGATTAGTTGTCCTACCATCATTTTTTTTTCATGATTTATATGCTTATAAGTTCTTCTTTCATACTAACACAAAGTTAATCCAAGCCGGGAAAAAAAGGGATTTACTTACACACTCGAAGGAGCACTAAGTCAAACTTAATCTACCATATCAAGATAGACATAAAATGTCTATCGTTTTATCGAGCGATTGTATATTTATTTTATATTGGTTATCTACTTCCTTTGTATTGTTATTATTATTTAATACACTAAATAATTAAATTGATATTTTTATTTAATATATAGATTTCTATCCTTGCTACATGCTTAATTTATAAGACTAAATTCCAAAGAATATCAATTAGTAATTCTATCAAACATAATGATAAATGCAAGGTAAAAGAAAATTTCCTCACTCTTCTCAAAATTAATATTTTATTATCATTTATGTCATCACGCCTCTTCGAGTCACGACTCGCAACGTCGGGAAGTGAGACGACAATTTATATGGTTTTTTCTTGAATTTTTTTTTATATATTTTAAAAGAAGTGGGAGCAAGCTATAGGCTGCTGTTGCAACTAAAGATGGAATGGTCATTAAAGTCGCTTGTTACGCCTCGCTTAAAATAGTGATTTTTCTAGAGAACATTAGATAAGTTTGGAAGCTTCTAGAAGAGTATAGAGCAATGGAGAAGCCTTTAGATAAGTATGAAAGCTCCTAGAAGAGTATGGAGCAATGGAGAAGCCTCTATGATGACATAGAGAAATCTAGACATGTCTTATAGAATTCTAGAGACTCCTTCACTATTCTAATATATGCATATCTAGATAGTTCCTAAAAAAATATCTAAGCATGTCCTAGGAAATATCTAGATAGGATATTTCTAAAGAAACAATTGTAGTCATTAGATTAAATAGATCCTAGCCATCCATTGAGGAGGTAGAAGACTATAAATAGGTGAGGTCTTCACTTAGCCAAGACACCTAGACATCCACAAATTTAAGAGTGTATCTTCTAGTTGTAAGCTTTAAAAAGTAGTACAAAGAGTTCTAATATCTTTTGTGTGTGTCTTTTTTGCTCAGCAATTTTATGTGAGGAAGGTTGACTTGATTTGTCTTAGAGAAGAAGAGAGCCAAATGCCACACGTTGACAAGTGGTATCGAGTCGAGTTCTATAAAAGTGTGAGTAAGCTTGCTGCTAGTTAAAGTATTCA